TTGTGCTCAATTTCTTAACTTCCTTAATTACATAACTCAAATATTCTAAGTTATTTTTTTCTTGCTTGAACTAGTATTTGCCAGTGGGATAATGGCCTTGGTGGTAGAACAACTGAGAAGTCATCTGCAGAAAATAAAAGCCCTGCAAACCTAAACCATGCCTTTTAACAAAATAATATAAGACAGAATAAAGATTTAAATAAAAAAACACTAAAAGGGAATGTGAGAATCATGTGTGTATAATCTCAAATAGAAAATACCTTTTAAGCGTTAAAAACAACAATTACAGCAGTAATTTAATAATAAGTTATTGATATATTCATTGTGCATGACCAAAAGCATCTTAAAGCTTAAGAAAAAGTTGAATAAACAAAAACGAAAGCATTTGTTACTCACATCATAGAGAAAAGGCTATTTCCCTCAAATATATGGAACTCTAAATCCTATGTGAAAAAGACCACTATACCAATGCAAAATGGACAAAGAACACAAACAGATGGTTCACGGCAAGGGGTGCATGTATAAGTGTATGTATAAATCCTATGATGTTGCCAAATCTTTCTTAGTTCCTGTGAAGTGTAAGGGACTCAGTTACTGTACACTCATACTCTTTGTAATCTCATGAAGTCTCCAGTGTGAATCTTTGTTCCCCAATCTAGACATTTTCATCTAATTCCCTATTCAGTAACTTTACAGTCACGTACTGCATAAGGATGTCTCGGTTAATGACGACCACACACATGACTGTGTTCTCATAAGATTAGTTACCACATAGCCTAGGTGTAGTAGGTTATACTATCTAGGTTTGTGTAAGAACACTCTATGATGTTTGCACAACAATGAAACTGCATAACGATGCGTTTCTCAGAACATATCTCTGTTAAGCAATGCACAACTACACTTGAATGTCTAACACTTATCTCAATCTTACTATGTCTAAATATGACCTCCTATTCTGCTGTCCCAAATCTTTCTTCTCAGAGTCTCGCCTGTAATAGTTCATCGTAACTTTATAGTTTCATCATTCATGCCCAACACTGTGAAGACATTCTCTCACTCCCCACATCCAGGCTACTGGCAAATTGGGACGTTTCCACCTTCAAAAATACCTCTAGGATCTACTCACATCTTACTATCTCTACTACTATTTTACAAGCTGACATGCTGCAACTCAGCATAATTAAACTACTTATCCCTTGCTAAACAAAATAATTACCCAATTGTAGTAATAGCACCAGATGTAGTTTTCCATCATAGTCTTCTTGAAAAGTTTTTTCCCTTGGCTTCTCGTACCCTACGCTGTCTTTTTTCTCCATCATCCTCACTGACAGCCTTCTCAATCTCCTTTGTTGGTGCCTGTTCCTCTCCAGACCTCTACATAATGGAATACCCTGTGACCCATTTGTAAGCCCTCTTTTTTTTCTCAATATATAATATCAATATATAACACATAAGATCAATAACAATCACTTTGCAAGCGATATCTAGTCCCACAGCCTGAAAGACAACATTTTAATACTATGACCCTCTAATTTATATCTGTGGTTCTCATCTTTCCAGATTCATTTTGGAGTGCCCACCACTTTGATATACAATAGCAGTTGAGTCTCTTTTACTTCATTTCCCACTGATTATTCCTTCTTAACTCTTTTCTATCTACATGTTAAAAAAATTCATGGGGCCAGCCCGGTGGTGCAGTGGTTAAGTTTGTGCACTCTGCTTCAGTGGCCCAGGGTTCACCGGTTCGGATGCCGGGTGCGGACCTATGCACCACTTATCAAGTCATGCTGTGGCAGGTGTCCTACATATAAAATAGAGGAAAGATGGGCACAGATGTTAGCTCAGGGCTAACCTTCCTCAAAAAAATTCTTAATTTGTTCATAATCATTAAAGATGGTGGATTCCTTCAAAATAACAACAACAGAAAATACAAACCTTATGAGGGGTCTATTTTAGTTTTCAATTTTCTATCACTGTTATTGCTTGTGTGTGTTTGCAGAAGTTTTCACATTTTCTATACAGCTATTTGTCCTTCAAGTTTCCAATTATAGTCATGATTAGAAAGGAGGAGGTTTTTTAATATTTATTTTTCAGCTGTAGATATTATGTCAAATGCTCATACATTTGGAGAAACTGCTAAAATTGTCCTTTTCCGCTTAAACTTCTCTGTAATCATGTGAGCATTAAGCTCTAAGGACCCCAAGGTACAACCTTTATTCTGCACTAATACCTGCACTATGAGAAGGATAGGGATTGACAATGTTTCTTCCCACATACCTGCTATTTTTACATAGTTAGTTGGTTGGATATCCAGATGCCATGGTTACAGACACCATAGAAATATACAGAAGCATAAAATCTCATTGGTGGGGGAAATTATAATGAAAATAATTGTATAAACTTAAAGGGCAAAGCCAAAGAACTGTACTTTAGCAAGCAATAAACTAAATAGTTAAATCAAGGCCCTTGGAATTAAAAAACTATTTTAACGTATCTTTAATTCAAATCTGTGACTTACCTGCAAGATTACTGAGACCTTGAAAGATTATTTGATTTGGCTAAGGTTATGCTACCAGATGGCAACATAGCTAGAAATAGAATTCACTCTTCCTGACTCACCTAATAAATACCAGTGCCACATTAGGCTTGGTGTATCTTTATTTCAGGGACACAAAACTGAGCCCTAGAATTTGATTTTAGAATATATGATTAATAGATAAATAAAATACACATTTTGCTTCAGTGGGTAACAATGAAATATATTCTTTCTACCAAATATATTCAAAATTATGGACATGACTAGGCCAAATGGCATTAATGTTGACTTACTTCAATATTCATGTGGATGATCCCTTTCATGAAATAGTATAGCCTTGTCCTACCAGTCCCCAATCTCTTCACTTTGTGGCCCATTTTCTTCCCTCCATATCAGCATCCCACTACTATGGTACACCTAGGACATCATATCAGATATACAAAATTGCTTCTAAAATTTCTATCTCAATCATCCCATTTATTAACCACATATCATGACTTTCTTGATCATTTTCTCTAGCAACCTCCCTACTACAATTCTTCAATTCCATTAAAACTTTAATCTATTGACCTTACTATTTTCTCTCCATTCATTCACCTCAATCGTTTTAATTTCCTCCTATCCAGAATATTTTCAGTGTTTCAAATAGAAACTATTCCCTTGCATATGATTCTAACATTTTTGTTTTTTGATCCTTTCTCTTTCACACTTGCCTTGCCATAGCTTGAGGTGAACCCCAAAATTCACTTTCTCCTTTTTCACAAATAAGCACCAAAATGGTGCTATAGAAAAATCGTGATACTCTTGCTGATTGGCTTTACTTTAAATTTTAATCACTAATCTCAAATTAACCCTCACTCTTGCGTGGTGACCTTACTATTGTTTCTTAGAATTTCACTTTACCATTCTCTTAGATGATTTATTTCATGCATTAGCCTATCTCCTCAAATCTATCAAATGACCACTACCCTCAGACTAAAAGTCCCTCATCCTAACACCAAATCAAAAAACATCCCTATGGCTACACTTATCATCTTCCTTGTTCCTCTTACAAAGAAGAAAGCTTGCTCACTCAGTGTATGCCATGGAAGTTGAAAGACAAGGGAACAACATCTTCCAAGTATTCTGTACACAGTAAAACAAGAAAATAATAAAAATATTTTCAGAAAAACTAACACAACACAAAGAAAATAGAGTTTATCACCTGCTGATGTCCATCAAAGGAAGGTCAAAAAGTGTCATCTCAGGTAAAGAATAACTACAGAAGGTCAATATCAGATGCAAGAAGAAATTATAAATAAATAAACTGGTGGACATATTAGTAAAGCTAAATTAGTGGGATCTACATAAAAGTATCTAATTTGCAAGGTAAACTAAAAGATTTATCTAAAATGCTAAATTAAATGGTATGTTAGAAGAGATATAAAGAGTTCAAATGACCAAGGTCATTTTATGGTTTGGAAGAGAGTTAACTGCAAAAATCTTTATGAATTAAAAACCAGAAGTAATAAAATATGAGAGAAGAAAACTAAAACAGCGAAAAATAGAAATACAAAAAAACCCAGCATAGTGCAATTTTCAGCAAAGTAGATTAAAATGTCAAATATAATAATCATTAGATATTGATCAGAAAATATTGTTCCTGTCAGAAAATACTTAGATTACTTTTATGATATCCATTTTCTCACTTATAACAATATAAATATACTATATAGATGCATATATACTTATAACAATAACATACATATAACAATAATTCATATAACTTATTGTTATAAGTATATATGCATGTACGTATGAGTAGAACAAAAACATAAAAAAAGAGTTATAAGTTCTCATTACTTTTTAAATTCATAGTAATAAAGAAAAAATATTCTCAGTTCTAGAGATCTGCTGTACAATATTGTGCTTATAGTTAACAATATTGCATTGTACAGTTAAAATCTGTTAAGAGGGTAGATCTCATGTTAAGCATTCTTACCATAATAAACTTTTTTAAAAAGTTTATGGTAAATACATTATAAAATAAACATATTTGTTTCACTTTATATTCTTCCTTTTTATTTTGGGAAAAAAAACAAGTAATATAACATCCTGGAGGGAATATATTTGATTCTCTGTCTTTAATATTGTAAATCAAACAAAGCTGAGCAGGTGCTTGCTTATGAATCTATTTATTTTTAAAGTGAGAATATATTTTTTTTAATCTCATAATGACTTTCTGGTTAAGTTGACCTGCATAGAAAAAAATTTTGTCAAATAGAAAGAAGCAACAGATGTTTTACCAAAATAAAAAAAGTATTTTCTCCTTTATTATCTGAATAATTACAAATCAAGTAATATTGATGTGTGTGTTTAACTTAATCTTATTGTAAAAATTCTGCACATAGAGCAAATAATGTATGTGGAATCATAGCTATTTCTAGAATGGTGGAGGACTATGCAGTCTCTCCTTTTTTCCTACTTTATTGAAAGGATGATTAATAAGGACCACAGGTATCGTTCTCTTCATAGATGAAGTGTTGATTCAGTACCAATACATGTAGCAATGCCTAGGACAGAAAAGTAAATAAACTGATTATTTAAGTTATATTTTACTTTATTTTAAATATTAGCAGAAAGAGAAATTTGATACATGTAATAGTAATAATATTTCTTAAATGCCTTCAATGTGTCAGGTACTCTGCCTAAACAATTTATGAGAGATGAAATAATATCTCTATTCATTAATTCATGCGTTCATCCTGTGACAAATACCTATTTACTGGGTATGCACCATATGTCAACTACCCTGGCTGATGAATAAAATGACTGAAGTCTCTCTTTTCATGGAGCTTACATCCTAATCAGGCAGACAGGAAAAATCCCAGGAAATTATACATGCACACATATTTACATATATACATATACATACAAATGTAACAAAATGTCGGTAATAAATTCTATGGAGAAAAATTGAATCAAATGGGATAAAGTGATAAAAAATGAGAGGGTGGAGGTATGCTATGTTATACATGGTGATCAGGAAAAGCATCTCTGAGGAGACCACATTGGCAAGGACTTAAATGCAGGGGAAGAAGTCCACTATGAGAATGTCTGGAGGGAATGGCAAGTGCAAGGGCCTTGACTGACGGAAGTGTCTTAGGAAAACCACGTACGGTGTGAGTCAGAGAGACTGGTGGAAAATGGCTCAGAAAGGCAGCCGAGACGAGATCATGTTAGTCCTGGCAGGTCAAGAAAATGCATCCAAGGTCGTGATGAGTGAGAGACGTTTCTCATGGTCACTTAGGCAACATACACAGGAGCTGGGATTTGAAACCAGACCTTTTTTCTCCAAAGCATGTGCCCCTAATTCCTACTGTGTATCTCCTCCCTTCAAATATGTTAATAACCACCTTTTATTTATCAAATTTACCAGCTCATTGAACAAATACCGATAGGATTGTAAGCATACCTTTTTGTTGCTGTTCTTTGCTAATAGTTCAATTGCTTTTTGGAGCAGTGTATTTTGAAGCATTGTAGACCTATTGAACATCAGGTTATTTTTTTCAAATTTACTTTTTAGAGATGCTTTTAGATTTTGTCCTTTATTTTGCTACTTCTCTTCCACTCCTCTTTCCTTACACACACATGAGGTCTTATTATTTTATATGTTTATAAATGTTAATTTGATAACAAACGTCTGATACACAAGATAAGGTGAGAAACATCAATTTCCACTGATTTAAGACATCCTAGACATTTGCATCTGCTCTCTTGTTGATGTTTTTCCTTCCTCCGAATAGGAGCCTTACCTCCCAGCTACTCTAGAAAAGTGAATGCTATTTGTAACTTTAATTCTCACTATCTGTATCTTTATCAGGCTTTTCTGTAGAGATACATAGTTGTGGGAAGATTAAAAATAAATATAAAATATGTTGAGGTTAAATAATATTTTCTGACTTAAGTAGCAAGTATACTGTATAATATATAGAAAGTTTTACAAAAGGCTATGTACTCTATCTGAATTCTGAATTAAAGTATTAAAAGTCAGCCTCCTGGGGGTGGCCCAGTGGTGCAGCAGTTAAGTTCAAATGTTCTGCTTTGATAGCCGGGGTTCGACGGTTTAGACCCCAGGTGCAGACCTATGCTGTGGCAGGTGTCCCACATATAAAGTAAAAGAAGATGGGAATGGATGTTAGCTCAGGATCAGACTTCCTCAGCAAAAAGAGGAGGATTGACAGCAGATGTTAGTTCAGGGCTAATATCCACCCCCCCAACCCCCCCCCAAAAAAGAAAGCCTCCTGTGCCTTATCATCTTTCTCTCCTAGATAACACTACATGGGCCCTTCATAATAGCTTTTTACCTTGCTGCCTGTTCTGATAGTTTTTAGATTTGATAAGCTTCAGTGTTACCTCAGGCTACTTCAGGTAAGATTTAGTAAAAATAAGGATCTGAGGCTGAAATAAACGAACTCCCTTTGAAATGCTCATTGCTAATGAAACCAAGGCTGACTGTTCTGATAAGGGCAGACTCAAAATTAATCAGCAGTAAGACATTAGGGGGAATGCTAAATTTCATTTCCCAAGTCTTTACAAGTGAAGATCCTCCTTATATTTGTATTCCAGATATTTGGGGTGGAAGTAAATTTACTGAGTGCTTTTTGTGTGTGTGTGAGGAAGATTAGCCCTGAGCTAACATCTGTTGCCAATCTTCCTCTTTTTGTTTGAGGAAGATTGCTGCTGAGCTAACATCTGAGCCAACCTTCCTCCACTTTGTGTGTGGGACACTGCCTCAGCATGGCTTGATGAGTGGTGTGTAGGTCCGCAACCAGAATCCAAACTTGCAAACCCTGGGCGGCTGAAGTGGGGCAGTGAAATTAACCACTATACCTCCAGGGAGCCCCAGGAGAGTTTTTGAATATACAGCATTGTATGAAAATGTTCCTTTTAAGCAATCTATTAAATGCCATATTACAATTACAATAAAGTTATTTTAAGTAAGATGTACCATAGATTTTTCTAAGATGACTAATCAAAATTTGGTAAAAATATCTTCCAGAGCAAAATCACAATCATATTAGCAAAAAGATATTGTGCAGGTTTAAATCATTCAATTAATTTGATTTAAAAAATTTTCTCTTTTTGATTCAGCAAATTTTCTTTTAGGGATAAAAGTAAAGAAATTTTGATAAGAGAGAAAAGGAAGAATGAATTGCCTAAAATTTTGGGAAAGCTGGAGAGAAATTGATTTCAAAATTGGGATAAAAACAGTCAAAAGAGTGCTGTATGCACTATTTACACAGGTGGGAAAATGCTAGAAGAATTCATTTATTGGTAGCAATGTGGTAAAGCTGCCTTAGGATTCCATCCGCAGCACACTGATCAAGACTAAATGGTTCTATTGAGGGTCAAACACTTCCTTACCTAGAACAACAGAGACTCATACACACACAAAATTACATGTGTACTCCTGCCATTGGAGTTGCCATTTACCGTTCTCAAAGGCAGTCAAAAAGGAACATCAAACCTACCCAGGCTCCAAACAAACTACTCTTTTCTTTTCAAAACCATCCTGTATTTGACACAGTCCTCTTTTAAGTGATTTCTTTTCTCTGGGAAGAACTTACCCGACATATAAGAACCGAAATTGTACACTGGTTTCCTGAGACTAGCTTAAATACCAATTCCTCCACAAAGTATTTTCCGATGTCAACAACGGTTAATTTTCCCTCTTTAAAAAAACCCCTATAAATTAGGCATCTGTTATTTCAACCTCTCTTTTACTAACATTATGATCCATATTTGCTGGACCTCACCTAAATCTGATTTCAAATTGAGATTACACTCCCTGATTACATTGCAGTTATCAAATCACGAGAATCCTTTACCTGCTTATGGAAGTTAATGTCTCAAGTGTCTCATGTTTCGCCTTCTACTTAAAGAATATTGGTCAATTAGGTTATTTTGCTCCTAAGTTTTCATTGTGCTATACCGTTGCTTCCCCTGTGGATGCTGATCTTTGCTGTCACCTCTTGGCTGGGTACAGCAATCTCTGCTGGGGACTCTGATGTTGCCCCTCCACAGCCTTGAGAGGAAACACTGCTCTTCTCAGTAGGTTCTCCTGGCTCTATACCTATTTGTGGACCTGGGACTCAGACACACATTCTTGCTCTAAATACAAGCCACTTCATAATAGTCCCATTACACCTATTCCCATTTTAGAAGTAAAAAGAAGAGTCTTCATGATGTACGCATTCTTGCCCTGCCTCTGCTTAGTAGCAGTAGCTTGAACAAACCAAAGAAAAACCAAGTATCTTCCTTTCTTTGAGTCCTTCTCTCAGACCTAGAGAGATGATATTCCTTCACTCAGACAAAATGCACTCTTAAATTCTGTTCCCAGGATTAACTACTTCTCAGGAAATTGGTATCAGAAAAAATATTTTTCAAGAGAAAACCATATTCTAATAGCCATAATAATTCATTGCCCAAAAGTCTACCAATGGCACAATTCTCAGTTTTACTCACTGTCACTCTTAAATAGTCTATGCCTCTCTTGCCTATTAGATTGTGAAGTATGTGAAAGTATAACTGAGACTTAAATAAAATTATATGTCTCACAGTATATTATACAGGGCCTTACACAACGGACGGATGCAATGAATAAATATTTCTTGGTTACTGTTTTGAATGGGCTAGAAGAGGGAAGTGTGTGAGTCTGTGTACCATCTTTGCCTCTCTAGAAACTTACGTGTTGTATGACTATTATTAAATGAACAGATAAGTGTTAGTTAAATTGAACCAGATGTCTCAACAACAATTGAAATATCCGAAAGGAGAAGCTGATTAAATTAGGACTATAGACAGGTTGTGGTCAAATGGAAAACATGCTTTCTCTGAGAGAATACTTGTGAGTTTGGCTATATCTTCTAGTTTTTCAGAATTTGTAGCATTTAAAGTTTCACTTGAACTATCTCAATACGTACATCATAGTTAAAATTAAATTAAAAATACACCATACTGCCAAAATAAAATATCTATTTGGTCCGCCTATGGTCAATTTTTAATTTCTGTTCATTGTTAAGTTTCATTAGTGTTATATTTTTCTGTGTTATACACAGTTTGAAATTATAGTAGTGGAATAATGCATTAAAATTTGACAAATCTTGGGGCCAGCCCATGGCCAAGTGGTTAAGTTCATGCGCTCCACTTTGGCGGCCCAGGGTTTCACCAGTTCAGGTCCTGGGGGCGGACATGGCACCACTCATCAGGAAGGAAAACTTTAAGGAAACATCCATAATAGATTAGAACTAAAAGTTTTAAGTTGTTTCAGAAAAATCCAGGATTTGTAAAGGAAGGCAGAGAAAGTACGGTGATGTAATAGTAATTCAAAGGTAATGATTCCAATGGGCAAAATAAACATTTCACTTGTTTTGTTAAAAAAAATTGCGATTATTATTTCATTTATATGTAAGTGTAATCTTGATGGCCCTGTTTTTGTAAAAATCAATTAACAAACATATAAAACTATGCACATATATGCATGGCAAAAGGTATAGAAAAATATACACTA